CAAAAAAAAAAAAAAAAGTAAGTAAGAACCCATCTCAGACCAATAAAAGGGCAAAACACAGAGGTGCCATGTTGCCTAGGGTGACTGCAAAGGCTGGGCTCTGGGCTGCAAGCCCTAGAGTTCAGGCAGCATGGTAGGAATTTCTCCATCTGTCTCTCTCTCTTTCTTTGTCTCTGTCTGTCTCTTACTCTTTGCATCTCTGTGTGGCTCTGCCCTCAGGTAGACTTCTGTGTGGCATAAAGATGGCACCAGCAGCTCCAAGCTCTATGAGACCAGCCAGTGACCACAGAAAGAGGGCAAATCCTGAAGACTAGAGATGAGCGTCTAGGTGAGACTCTTTCAAAGCCTGGGTCATATGCCCACCCTGAGCCAAAGCATCCTGCTTCAGGAAGGCTCTGATTGGCCAGGTCAGGAGGGCAGGTACATGGACTGAGTAGAGTGTGGTCTCTGGAAGGAAAATCTATGTGTTCGTGTGATACTCAGTTCTGCCTCTTGGTTTCACACACAGGTGGCCTGGCCCTGTCCAGGGCTGACCTCTGATCCTATGCTGAGCTTTGAGTTTTCCTCTTCCATCCCAGGCCTCAGCTCCAGTCTGGACACCAGCCTCAGGCTGCCCTGGGAAGTCCTAGTCACTGTTCTGTCCAGTGGCTGACTGCATGCTGCAAACTCTAGGGTCCCCCTGATGCCTGCCACCTCCTCCCATCCCCCAACACAGCAAGAGGTGGCCTGGGAAAGCAACACATGGGGAGAGGGCTGAAGTATGCGAAAGAGCCAGGAGGACAGCTGAGGAAAAAGTCTCACAGCAAGGGTAACTGTCCTGGTGTGTGTCTGAGAACCAGGAGGGAAGCTAAGTGGCTGGAGGGAGGAAACAGGAGAGCAGCTCTCCTAGCCAAGCTAGAATCCCAGCAGGGCAGGAGAGGAGGCTCCCACAGGACCCTGGCTAAGATGTCCAGGGAAAAACTGTACTATAATCCAGGCAAAAGAGGATGGCAGCAGTGAGCAGGGCAGCAGCTGTGCTGATGGAGGTCAGCGTTTGGACGGACAGATCGCAGGTCAGGGTGAGGAGGAAAGGACAGGAAGGGCCCAGGATGGAGCCTCATCTTACCATCCTCTGGTTCCTCCCTGCCCTCCACACCACCATTTCCAGTTCAATCCATTCCCAAGGTGGCTGAGCAGCTTTCAAAAGGCAAATGGAATGACCACACCAAGGCCAGCCATTCTGGAACTTTCTCCTTCTTAAGGGTTAATGCATGGATCTCCATGTGAGTCAGAAAATACACAGTGCTCATGAACTCTTGATTCAGAGGTCAGCAGTCTGTTCTCCAGAAGTGGTTCTGGTTCTGAGGCTGAGGTGGCTCTGAGATCATCATAGGACCTGGGGTTCCATCCCCAGTGCCCCTCATAAAACACCAACAAGGCACCCATGCACGCACACAGACACACACAGACACAGACACAGAGCCAAAAGATACAATTTGGTTAATAACAGATGGAACTGATTTAAAGAAAAATATTAAGGAAATTGTATATTTTGGTTATTTAGAAGACATCTTATTTCTCTCTATGCCCTTTGTCTAGTTTTCCTACTGTATTTTTTATCTGTTGACATTCCTTTTTACATTTATGTATTATTTATGTATTTATTTTTTAGTGGGGGTATTTATTTATATACAGGTCAGAAAACAACTTGCAGGATTTGGTTCTGTCCTTTCACTGTGTGAGTCCTGGGGACTGAATTCAGGTCAGGCTTGGTGGCAAGCACCTTTACCCTCTGAGCCATCTTGCTGGCCCAGTCAACACTCTATAGCTCCCACTGCTCAGCGGAGGGCCTGGATATTAGAAAACATATGTTTTTCTCCCTCAGAATTCTTACCATAATCTGCGATGATTTGTTGATCCGCGTAATGTGCCAGGTCTGATTGCTTTACTGCACTGACTGCTTGGGGTATATGGGGGCAGTTCAATATGCACAGCCAGGGACCCTCACCGCAGGGTTTGGCACATCCTTCAAGTGTTGATTGCAGTAATTAGTTGACTAATTGCTGAGAGGTTTGCAGGACCTACAGGGAGAACATGGAGTCCCTATACAGAGGCACTCAGTATTTGTGAGGAACACACCCCTGTCTAGGGGTCTGGGGTGTAGGTTGGGGACCCTGGTACCCAGGCCCACAGAAGATGCACTCCAGAACTTCAGCATTTTTTCACTCTGTGGGAACTCAGGTGCAACATGGCCAATCTTAAAATGTCTCATGAAAATCAAGAAATGGGGCTCCTTATGCAAGCTCTCCCACTCCAAAGTGTTGGCAGAGATCAAGCATGGCACAGGTCTGAGACTGTGGCTGCCAAGTGGCCAAGCCAGGTTTCCAAAATGGTTTTTAAAGGCAAGCTCACATATAATCCATGATCCTGGAGGGAGGACTGTAGAGGCAGAACCTGAGGCTCAGAGTGGGAAAGCAGCTTGCTTAAGGGTGCCCAGCTGGGAGAATGGTGTGTAGATGGTGCTCCAGAGGGTCCTGGCCCAACTCCTCTTCCAGGGAAGTGCTGCAGAAACTGCTGGAACTTGAATCTAACTCTCAGGTCTGCTCCCAAGCCACTTCTGCAGGACGGTCCCTGCTGATCCCCCTTCCCAGCTCTCTACTAGTGAATTGAGCAGGACTTCCCAATTATTATGAGTGAGGTCTTCAGTGGCCCAGATACACTGGCTGCCAGAGGCCCTGCTCTAGGAGACCCTGATGAGTTGAGTCCTCCACCTCTGCAGCAGGTGCAGGGATATGAGGGGCTCTCTCTCTCTCCCTCTGCCAGGGGCACCAGTGGCTGTTGACTGACTCCTAACCCAGGCTACTGAGAAAAGAGAAAGCTGCTCATCCGGCCAATGGGCTTCCGGATACTTCTGGTCCTCAGTCTCTCCTTGCCAGACTTGAGATGATTCTACGATTCTACCCAAATTTTCACTGCTCTGTCATAACTCTGAACACCACAGAGCCTGGAATAAGCAAACATGATTAGAGTTCAGGAAATACTATAAAATCAACTCACAGGCAGAGAAAAGTGGGGACAGGAGGAGAGCAGCTGCTGAGGGGTGTGACCACAGGCAGGCCTCTTCAGGTGGAGGGGCCAGCAGACACGGAGAAGGGGATTCCTGTCCAAAGGACAGCCAGGCTGCTGTCCCCGGAGGAAGGAAGAAGGAAATGAGGCCTTGGGGGGGGGGTCAGCAAGGCTGCTACCCGGGTTCCAAAGAAGCGTGGCTTTTATTCAGTGGGATATATTCTCAGAAATTTGTTGTTGTTGCTGTTGCCAACAAGCGGTGGCCTTTGGCCGTCAGCCCCTATCGAATTTCCTGTCGGTGCATCCTTCCAATAAAGCTTGTGTGCCAGCGGGTCCAAGGGTCGCCGTAGCGACCACACAAAGCCGCTGCCCTGGCACCTGAAGCCTCTAGTGCAGCGCGCTGGGGATGAGCGGCCGCCAGGTGGCGCTCTGCATCCACGCACCGGCGGGTCCGGGGGTCGCGGGCCGGTTCGGCGGGGGAGGGGCAGCAGGAGGCGGGGCTCGCGCCGCAGGTTGGGTGACTTTGGGTTTGACCTGCCTGGAGATGAGCTAATCCCGCCATATAATAGACTCCAGGGAGATAGGAAAATGGCCGCGCGCTATCTGCGTCGCTATGGGGACCATCGCGCGCGGGCGGGGCGCGGGCCTGGAAAAATACAGTCTTTGTGGCGGCGCGTGTCACTCACGGCCTAGACCCCGGGAGGCGGGCTCGGCTCCATTGCCCCAGCAGCAGGGCCTCGAAGGAGAGGCCTTGGGGCCAGGGCCCCTTGGGTGTCCCCAAACTCCGAGCTCCACACCCGCTGGCCCCAACACTCACCAGAGCCAGTGCATCCCGCCTTGGCTGCTCGGTCTGTTCCCCACCCTCAGTATCCAGCTCCGAGTCTGCACACGCAGCCTCATGCAAGGCCCGAAAACCGCCCTTCGCCTCATCCGTCTCGCTGCACACCTGGTCACCCTGGGCACCCACTGCCTTGCAGACCAGAGCCGGCTCCACAGGAATGTGCAACTGCGATCACCCCAGCAGCCTGGGAAACACACCTAGTCAAGAGCGGCCTGCACGCTCTAAGCATGCACTCGGGTGTATCTGCGCGCTAAGCATGCACTCAGGAGTGTCTGCGAAGGTCTCTGTTCTGCACCCTTAGCTAAACAGCATTGTCCCGGGCCAGACCCATGGAGGCACCCACAATAAACTCATCCATCTCTCCCACAAGCGGCTTGCACGTCCACTGCACACACTAGCAGCGTGCATCCCACGCGCTCACGTGTAGCACCGCATCCTGCGTGCGTCTCAGCGGCTATTTCCAGGCATTCGGCTGGTATGCCCACCCCGCGTACACGCAGGGCCTGGCACACGTGCACTTTCTCGCGGCACACTTACACTTACACCCGCATTCTTGTTTGCTCAGGATCCACTCGCTGGCACACCCACGTGTTCTTCCAAACACAGCGAGCAGAGCCGGGGTGCACACTCGCCGCCCGGCGCGCCCCCCGCGGATGCTATCTGCCTGCCCATCGGCTCGCGGATCTGCGGTGGTAAATGCTGCATTCGATGGCGGGTGCATTTGTTGTGCGCGCTCTGAAAGGGCTGCGATAATCTGGAAGGCAGAGATAAGGAACGCCATTTATTCCGCGGCACTTTGGAAACAATTCCCAGCCCTGTACAACCCCATTCTCGGGCAGCCTCCGGGAGCCGGGCAGATAACGATTGGCTATTCATTATCTTCGCCGGGAACAAAGATTAGCCGGCCGAGATGAAAAATTACCCCGGACAGCGGCGCAGCCCGGCTCAGACCCCCCTGCCCGCCGCTGCGTTCGCTGCCCCGCCCGGTTCGGGCCTGGGCTAGGCTCACGCCTGGCGCGGCCTCCGCGGCCCTGACCTCCCGCTGGCCAGGCTGTCTCTCCCTCTAGGTCTGTCCTTCCCACCTTGCCTTGCTTTCCTTCTCCCCACTCCTCTTTCCTGCCTCTTGCTCTCCCAGGTTCTCCAGACTCTCATCTGTTTCTGCTGTCGTTCTCCATCCCTGCACCTCCATTCTGTCTCTCTCCAGCCTTTCTCTGCCTTTCTGACTTGTTAGTTGTTTATTTTTTGTTTGAATACCCCAATCCCTAGCCCACCCTGCCATTGTCTCTGTCTCTCTGTGGCTTCATTCAAAACAAAACCAAAAACTCATCCTTGGGTATCCCTGCCTCTTGTCCTTCCTTTTCTTTCTGGTTTGTTTTTTTGTTTGTTTGTTTTTGTTTTGTTTTGTTTTGTTTTGTTTGGTTTTTTGTTTTTTTTTGTCACTGGCCTCCAAGTGTTCCCCACCCAAATAATCCCACTCTTTGGGCTGTCACATACTGTCTGCCCTCAGAAGATCAGACTCTGAGGCTGAGGGTCTGGTTGGTTCTGGCCATCCCACCCAACCCAGTGGGCAGGGGACAGAGTCTCCCTCAAGAAACAAGACAGATCTTTACAAAGGTCCTAGGACACAGAGTCAGCAGGGGACAGAGTCTGGGCTATAGTACCTAAAACCTCTCCCTCAAGAAACAAGACAGATCTTTACAAAGGTCCTAGGACACAGAGTCCCCCAGGCCTCTGAGGGATTTGCTGTGCTCCAGGTCTGGCTGGCCATGCCCCTCCCCAATGGGAGGGGGGGTCTGGGAGCTGGTGGTCCCAGTGAGGCCACCTCATTAGAACAGTTATTCAGTATGGCGCTGGCAATGGCAGATAAGGCTTATCAGCTCATCTCTCCCTCCCAGAGACAGACAGAAAGTGCCCAAGCAAATGGCACCCCGGGGCTCCACTGGCTGCCTGCCCTGCTGGTTAGGGAAGGTGCGGGTGGCCAGGGAGCCTGGAGGATACACATACTGTCTCCACACTCCTCCCTTCCCCGACCAGACACAGAGTAGCCTGGATACAGAAACACAGACCCAGGATGGAGTCATGGATACAGGTACCCACCCCTCAGACATAGGCACCAAAACCAGTCCCAACACATCTGGAGCCACAGATGTGCAGCCATACTAGGATATGTCTTCCCCTGTCCACCATCAAAGTTAGACACCAACACCTGCCATTAAAATACGTATACACAGCATGCCCAGATACACTGAACACAATCCTACCTCCAACTCTCAAATAGGCAGAATTGTAAGTGGGTATTTAGACACACATTGCAAAATACCACAGACACACAGACATACACACACGTGTGCAAGCATGCAAAGTTGAAAAATAAACACATAGAGCCAAACATATACTATTAAAGACACACACAAAAATATATGCCTAGATACACACACCAAATACATAAAAGTAATACACTGATTAACATATACTTAGAAATACCTGACATCTGTCACATGATTCTTGGAGATGGTAGTCCTATAGCTACCCAGACACAGAGACACACAGCCAGTGCCACGCAGTGTACTTATGGGGTTACACTCTGATACAGTCATGCTGTGACCAATACACAAAACACAAAAGCTTAGGGATCCACAAGAAGAATGGCATGCATTAGCATGCTCAGCTTTGCAAACACTCCTGTGTTGCTCCCCAATGTGCACACACAAGTGCACAGGGTACAGAGACTGAACTGTATGCAGAGTGCATACAAGACGCAACAGATTCAGAAAGACTCACGAACAGCAGGTGGTACAAAGATGGGGGTGGAGGGACAGACTCACTCCCTTCAAGGGCACAGTCTTTCCAAGCAGAGCACTTTGTCTGTGGGTCTAAAACCACTTTCTTTCTCTCTAGGTTTGGATTTCTTGGAGGGGCCTAGGGCAGTACCAGGAATGTTTTCTCATTGCTCTCAAGCTCAGGAGCCTCCTTAGGATGCTGACTGCCACCCAGCTCCTTCTTCCCACCCTTCTAAGGACAGGCGGCCAGCTCTCTTTCTGGCCTTCTCTGATGAGAAGGCTTGACTAGAATGGGCTAAGGAGACACTGGAAACTCCATTCCTAAAATGCTCCTCAGTTGGGAATGGATGCCAGTGGAGAAGCATCTACTTTAGACAAACAGGCAGGAAGTGTGGGAATTGGGTGACTCTCAGACTGTGGAGCTACATCTGTGTATGCAGAGGTGTGACCCAGGTCTCCTGTCTGGGGACGTACACATAGGCACAGCATGTGCAGGTGTCTGGGTACTTCTGTGTGAGTAAGTGTATGCTCACCTGGTAGTCCACAGGGAGAGTCTCAGAAGAGATATCCCAGGCCTTCTGTGATTGCATCCCTGAGACCAGTTACTCCCGTGGCCCAAAGAAAACAGGAGTGGCCTGCAGGGTGTGTGTACCTCGAGTGACTAGTGGCCTGGGCCTGGCCAGACCTGGCAGACAAGGCACAGAGACCCGGCATCCTCCTGCCCCCTGCGGCGCTCCCGCCCCCTCGAAGTGATGTTGAAATAAAAAGCAGTGGCGCTGCAGCCGGGAACAGAGAGGCGGCGAGAACCAAGAGAGGTGGCAAGGCCAACGCCACGGTAGCTCGCCGCTGAGGTCTCCGTGGGTTGTCATCACCTCCACCACAGCCCACCAGGCTGACAAAAGCGACCGGCTAAGCACCATGCATTCGTTCGGCGTGGCACCCGGGCCCCAGTGGTGACCGTCGCTGCTGCTGGACTCCGGCGGGCAGACCGGCCACTCCACGCACCCCGCTCCCTCCTGAACCCTGGCGGTGGCCGCCCGGGGGCGCCGCCCACCGCGCCGCAGTCGGTAAGTTCCTGCACTCCGTCCTCCTATCCCGGGCCTTCTCGTGCCCTGCGCCACCCTCCAAGCACCCGGATCCCACGGTCGGGTTGGCCCTGCTAGTGGTTCAAACGCAGGATGTCCGGAAACCCAAATGCCCGCCTGGGGGCTCCTGCCTTCCGTTTTTCCGGAGCCCTGGGCCTGGAGACTCGGCTTTCCCAGACCTTCGCGACGTGCCCCCCTCCCGCCCCGGAGCTGGAGTCTTTGTCTTCGGGGTCTCCCACCCCTGGGCCGCAGCGGCAAATGCGCCCGAGCCGGGCCGCCACGCGCCGGCTGCACCTGCCGGCTGGTCCCGTGCACCGGCTTTGCGCGGCTTAACCCCGCTAGCTGCTGCTTGCGCCCCCCCCCCAGCGAAGCACCACGCGGCCCTTTATCCTGTGTGGCAAGGGTGCAGGTGGGGGAGCGCGCAGGCTCTGGAAGTCTCCCCCTGCCCCAAGCCGCAGCCGGAATCCTTTTAGTGGGCTTTCAATAAGAACGGGGTTGCGGCGGGTGGTAGGTGGGTAGGCGTAGACGGCTCTGGGCCTATCTGGACGCGGGGCACTGAACCATTCGGTGGCGGCCCGGGGTGGCGGCCGGGGGTGGAGG